CCTCGCTGCTCCTCCTCCGGCTAATGGACCGGAGTTTGGGGTTCTTGAGGGGTCTGCGTGCCACAGGGCTTGTGGTCGCCCTCCATCACTTGGTTTTAACAGTTGGACTTGATGATCTCAAGGATCTTTTCCAACCTACATTCCAGGATTTCTATGATTTTAAGCAGCAGAGGGGCTTGGGAGAGCTACAGCCTGGAGAGATGGAGAAGGACACGGACCCCACAACCCTGTGAAGAAGACCATCAGGAGGTCATTGGGAGATCACCAACAGGGGTAGAGACCGGGGTGTTGGACACTGGTGTCTCCTCCTCCTCTTTCTCCATCAGGAGAGAGGGAGAAGGACACTGACCCTGCAACCCTGTGAAGACCATCAGGAGGTCACCTGGAGGTCACCAAGGGGGATCCAAGACTGGGGTGTTGAATACTAGTGGCTCCTCTCCTCCTCCTCCTCCTCCTCCTCCTCCACAGCTCCCAAAGACCTGATTGCTCCCCAAGGCCGATTCCTTGGTGTCTGGAATTCCTCGGGGAGGGGGGAGAAGCAGAAAAGACCTTGAGGAAAGCATCCTCCTTATCACCACTGTTCTCAGCCCAAACTGCAGAAGGATTTAACTCTTTCCCAGCCAAAACCCACCTCAGGGAGGAAAAAGGCAAGAAAAGTCATGGCTTGACGTAAAACCCGTTTAATAAATGAAGAAGTAGAAAAAATAGAGGGAAATAAAGAAACCCAAACCAGTGACGCCAGCACAAGGCCATCGCTCACCGTCTCCCCATGGTCCCACCCCCCCCAAAAAAGCCAGCCCAGTTCCCAGTTCTGGCAACACCATCCCAGTGTTCCCAGCACTGCTGGGCCACAGCTGGAGAGCTATGAAGACCGACCAACTCCATCCCAGTCAAAAACCAGTATACCCAGCAAGCTCTCCCTCCCTGACATAGAATCACAGAACGGTTTGGGTTGGAAGGGACTTTGAAGATCATCCAGTTCCAACTATCTAGTCCTACCTAAAAGCCCCCACTAGTTCTACCTAAAAAGCCCTCCAGTCCTGACTAAAAGCCCCCCAGTCAGCCCAGTACCCCCATTTTCTCCCCACCCCAGGAAACACAACACCCACAGAGAGCAATCTCCTGGAGGAGATGGTGGTGGTGGTGGGGTTATGGCTATGGAGCATCCCTCCCCGGGCAACCCTCCAGCAGCGCGGCTTCGGTCCGCCGCTTGTAGCCATACTCCTGCAGCCCCCTGAGCCAGAGGAGGACATTTCTTTGGGGACTGGCCTTCTCAGAGCTCCACCGCACCTCCAAGGGGAAGCCTGAGATGATCTGGTAGGGGCCAAGGACCTCTCCTGGAGCCTGCAGGGCTCTGACCCCCGCCAGCATCAAGGGCAGCATCTCCACCCAGGCCTTGCCGGCCCCCCAGGCCAACCGCTGCAGGGTCTGGGTGGCCGGGACCTCCTGGTTGGCCTGCAGGGTGGTCCATATGAGCTTCAGGCCAGCTTCCCTCATCACCAGCCGGGGGACATCCTGCAGCCAGCGTGGCACCTGGGGCAAGTAGATCATGCGAGGGGTCCCGTAGCGCTCAAAGACCTTCTCGTAGAGCACCCAGGCCATCTCCTGCACCGTCCCCTCCCACAGCGGGAAGGCGTCCACCCACCCCGAGAACTCGTCCACCACCACCAAGAGGGAGCGGGCACCTTCCTCGCTCTCGGGGAGGCCCCTGATGTGGCCCAGCCAGAGCTCCGACCACGGTCCCTCTGCCCGTTGGGGCTGCATCCTGCCTCCTCCATCCCTGTCTACAGCACACTTGGGGCACCTCTGCACCCAACGGGCCACCTGCTCGCTGTCACCTTCCCAGAGGACAACCCGCCGCACCCTCGCCAGGGTCTTCTCCACCCCCTCGTGCTTCCAGCTGTGGCAGCGGGCGATGATTTCTTGCTTCTCATACCTGGAGGGCTCCCACATCAGCTGGTTGCCCACGGCCAGGGTGGCCATCTTCCATGCCCTCCTGTCCACTTTCTGGCTCCACTTCCTCTCCTCCGGGTCCATGCTCCCGTGGCCTCCCACGTACCTGATGTGCAGCATCCCTGGGGTGTTGTGGAGCCACCTGAGGAGGCTCGACCACAAGTCATCGCTGGAGGTGGCCCAGAACTTTGGGTCCCACTCCCACTCCTCCATCAGGCCTTGCAACCTTTCCACCAAGGACAGGCAGTTGGTGTACAAATAGAGGGATGAGGAGCCCTGGTGAAAGCGCAGGAGCTCCCTGAGAGCCACCAGCTCCGCGTCCTCCTCAGCCACCCCGAGCAGCCACCGCTCTTCCAGGTTGGCCGCAGCGAAGCTTGTGGAGCAACCCTCCTGGGTGGCCAGGAACCATACTTTGGACTTGGGGATGTGGGAGGGCAGCTCCTTTAGGGAGGGAGCGGTGGAGATGGGGACGCGGAAGGTGTGTCCCCACTCCCAGGGCTGGGGTTCCCTCACCATCATTCCACCAGCAGCCCTCTCGTTCACCAGCAGCAGAGACCACTGCGTTGGGGGCGGGTTGGTCCTGCAGGACCCCAACACTTCACCCCGTAGGAGGTACTTCGAAGGGGACTGGAGCATCTGAATAACGATAGGGGCTGACTCCGTCAGGGTCTTGAAGGCCTCCACGGCCCAGATGGCGGCCAGGCACCTCTTCTCCTGGGTCAGGTAGGAGACAGCACGGCCCTTCAGCATGCGGGAGCTGTATCTCACCGGGAACAGCCGGCCCCATCTGTCCTCCTGCAGCAAGGTGGCTCCCACCTCCTCCTTGCCGGTGGTCAACTGGATAATGAAGGGCTGGGTTCTATCAGGGAACCGCAGGACGGGTGCTGCCCAGAGGGCTCCTTTCAGGCGTTTGAGTGCCTTCTCCTGCTCCTCTTCCCAGCCCCATCTGACCTGCCCCATGAGGAGGCGCTGGAGGGGCCAGACCAACTTCCAGTAGTTGGGGATCTGGTCCTTCACGATGCTCAACTTCCCCAGCAGCGAGCGGAGGCTGCTGATATCCGTTGGGCAAGAAGCTTCGATGATGGCCTCCAACTCACGGGTCTGGGTCTTCCACCCCTTGGCCCCAATGGTCATCCCCAGGTAAGTCACCTTGGGCTGGACCAGCTGCACCTTCTCCAGCTTGGCTTTAAAGCCTGTGTTTTGGATCAGCTTCAGGACTTTCTTCGTTCGGTCTTCAGTAGCCTTTCGGGTTTCCCCACTGATGAGGATGTCATCGGAGTAGGAGAAAACCCAAGGTTGGTCTTCTTGGGGCAGGTGGGACAACATCTCCTTCACCCGCTGGTGCAGGATGGTGGTGGTGCTGTGGAAGCCCACGGGCAAGCGGGTGAAGAGGTACTGCTGGCCCCAGAAGGTGAAGGCAAACCTGGCTCTGGAGCTTCCTGCCAAGGGGATGGCGAAGGAGGCGTTGGAGAGATCCACCTTGGAGAAATACCTGCTCTTGGGGCTGAGGTTTGCGAGGATCTTGGCCTTGCCCAGGTCCACCGAAGCCACCACCTTGGGGGTGGCCCTGTTGATAGCTCTGCAGTCCAGCACCAGGCGACACGTCTTCCAGCTGGGCTTTTGAACGAGCCTCACGGGGCTGTTGGAGGAAGATGTGCCCTTCACCACCACGTTATCTCTGAGCAGAGCCTGCAGGATGCTCGCCATCTGCTGCTCCTTGGCTGCTGGAAACCGAGGTTGCTGTTGGAAGGGCACCCGTGCCCCGCTCACGTTCACCTCCCCGGCCACCATCCCGCAGTCCGTCTCGTATCGTGCCCACACGTTGGGGAATTCCACCCTCCACCGCTCTTTGTCTCTGTCTTCTTGCACCCTGAGACACAGCATGGCCACTGTGGGCTCAGGAACGGGTGGTGGGCCTCCCCGCTCCAGGAGGTCATCATCATCAGAGTCCTCCCAGATCTGCTCGTTGTCAGATGTCTCCATCATGGTGAGGAGCTCGTGATCTTTCCAGTACATGTCATGGTACCCAGCAAGGTCCTCCAGCGGCTGGTCATGCTGCATCACAGTGACGTCCACGGGGGTGTCCACCAAAGCACCCACCTCTTCCGAGCTGCCCACCCTGCCTCTCGTGTCCCCCTGCCCCAGCTCCAGCAACTCTCTCTGCTTCCCCGTTCCCATTGGGTACTCACTGGTTTTGGTCTGCAGGATCACCTCCACCAGCCTGACCCCCAGCTCCCTGGTGGACCTCCCTTCCCACTTCTTCATGTCTTCTCCCAGGTGCTGCAGCTTCTCCCACACTTGCCTCCTCTGCTCCTCCCCACACCTTCCCTCTGCTGACTGAGGGTTCAAGTCCTCCCTGTCCCTGTTCCCTCCAGGGATGGGGACATCAGCCTTGTCCTCCACCTGCAACCCCAGGCTCTGGGCCGAGCGGGTGGTTCTTCCCTCACCCCCACTGGTTCCTGCCTGGACCAGGACCTGACTTGGACCCCTCTCACCCCCGTGGCCACCACCTCTCCTTGGCACCTCCCCATGCCCTGCTTCACACCCAACCATCAGCTCATCCCGACCGTTTTCCTGGAGGTGTGGGACCCCCTTGCGCACCTTGGCCGAGGCTGCCTCCTCTTTCTGCTGGGCTTCCCCACCTCGGGTGGGTTTTTGGTGGGTCCCCGGCTTCTCGGGCGCTTTCCCCTTCAGCTGGACACATCTCTTGGCATCCTGTCCCTGCATCCCGGCGCCTCTCCGGCTCTCTGGAGTTTCCTGGGAATCCCGACACTGCTGGGGTGCTTCGTGTCCCACCAACCGCAGGAACCTGCTCAGCCCTTGCCCTTTATCGGGGTGCTGCGCCCGGCAGAACCCCAAAATCTCCTCCCTCGGCTCCCCCAGTCCCGGGATGTTGGGTGGACCTTCCACCCGGGTCCCAGGCCCCCTCTCTTGGATGAGCAACCCCAAATCCACAGCTCGGGAGGCCGGCGGTGGGGGGAGGCCCCCCTTCCGCTTGTCCTTCCTGCTCCAGAAGCAAGGCATCGCCCCCCAAAACCGGGTGTCACCCCAGGGGGCCCCCCCGTCACCTTTCTCCTTGGGCAGCAGGGCTGGTGGGGTGGGACCCTCCGTGGCAGCAGCAGCAGCAGCACCTCGGCAGGAGCGGCAGCCAAAGGGTTAACAGGCTGTTTCCCCGCTCGGGGGAGGAAGAGGAAGCTGGGGGAGGATGAGGAAGGTCGGTCAGGCCTCTCTCAGGAGGAGGAGGATGGCGAAGAAGGCACAGACAAGATGGCCCCAGCTCCGGAGATGTCCCTTCTTCTTCGGTGGGGGTGTCCCCTCTTCCGTGGGGGTGTCCCCTCTTCGTGGGGGTGTCCCCTCCGGGGCTGTGGGGAGCAGAGCAGGGTGTGGGAAAAGGGGGGAGTGTGTGTGTGG